GGGGGGGAGAGAAATTGTCGTCACGCTGGGGGGGGGGCTTAGAGGGAGGAGACCCCAGGAGCTCCTCGCACATTTCTGCGGCGTAGTTCTGGTGAGGTTCCTTCTGGGCGGCTGTCCCTTTGGCTTCGCGGGAGCCGCAGCGGTGAGTGACCCAGCGACGTGCCTGGTGGTGGTGGTGGGAAAAGACTAGAAGTACTCCGAGCCGACCCCACCGCCTGAAGACACCTGGCGCTACTTCCCCCGGCCTCGTGTGTGGCATCGCAGGGGGCGGCTCGGGGGGGGGGCAGTCGAGCTTTGGCCATGCTCCCTTTAAAGTTGTGAACGAGCGATTTGGCTGCTGCATAAAGTAGTTTGCTCTAGAGACACCCTTCTTGAGCTGAGACAAAAAATGTGTGAGCCGGAGGCTAAAAACTGTGAGCTAGCTCACACCAACTCAGCTTAGAGGAAACATTGGCTGTGGGGGTCGAGCCTGAGCATCGTGCAAGTATGTGCCTGCAACCTAACTGGCTGCCTCCTAGGGTCAGTGCTCGGTGGTCTTGCCTGGCAGGGATTTGACTTACGTTGTCCTTCATGCATGCGATGTTGCCCGCTGGCTCGTCTATTTCGGTTACCAGCATGGGCATGTCAGCCACTTTGCTGGGTCTGTCATCATGCATAATGGGGAAATCCCTACGGTAGGGGTCTCAGCCCAACATGGTGCTCTCTGTCAATGACATGACTAATCGGGTAACAACAGACTTGATGATCGTCTGTGCATGCTGACCATCTTCCTGCTATTTGCATGGGTGTAAGGAAGATGTGCTCAATGGGATGGAAGATTTTGTTCTACATTAGCTGCATGGTACTTCCTATGTGAATCCTTGTTGGGCATGATTTGCATGTGGAAGCTCTGGTGGTCAACCCCTGTTATATTCATTTTGTATTGCATTTATGCCCAACTGTTTTTCTAACATGAAACTCAAACAGACATACATGGAATTTACAAGAGATACTGACCAATGTTCCCTCTAAGCTGTGGAGTCTTGTGAGCAAAAATTCTATTTTATGAGCTACTGGCATTAAAGTTGTGAGCGAGCAATTTGGCCACTGCAGGAATCAGTTTGCTCTGGAGCCATCCTTCCTGAGCTAAGACAAAAATGTGTGAGCTGGAGGCTAAAAAACTGTGAGCTAGCTCACACTAACTCAGTTTAGAGGGAACACTGGGTATTTGCTTTACTATTGCTGTATCATCTGCCAGTGTTACCCTGGAAAGACATTTGCCTGATATAATGGACAGTTATTGCCAGTCAGAGTAGACAGGACTTGGTTAAATCAGCCAGTGGTTTGATGGTAGATGACAATTCTTATATTCATAAAAAATGGATAGAACTACATATACTACCCTTAGCTAGGAAGGAAGACAGTAGTTCTACAAATGCATTGTTACTTTTAACATCTTACATTCTTCAAATACAGAATCTCCAAGCCCCACAGAGCATAAGATTTTATTTTTTTTTGTAATAATGAAGGGTTTACCGATTATGAAAGATCTGGAAAGAAATGCTGTGCATTTGACATTATAACAAGTCCTGTATTGTACCGTTTGCTGTACCAAGCCCTGTTTGCTCACTACAAACACTGAAGAGCAGATTCATATCCATGGGGCTTGATTTGAACTATGCTGAGTCAGTGGTCTTCAGCCCATAAGTTAGGGCTCTGGAGTGGGCTGCAGAGTTCCCCTCCTCCTGCTCAGTCGCAAGCCCCCATAGTCCTGACGTGGATGATCTAGACTAACCTGATCTTGTCATATCTCCAAACCTAAGCAAGGTCAGCCCTGGCTTGTACTTGGATGGGAGGCCACCAAGGAAGCCCAACATTACTATCCAAAGGCAGGCAATGGCAAACCACCTCTGTTTGTCTCTCCTGTCACACGAGTAGGGTAGCTAACTCCAGCTTAGGAAATTCCTGGAGATCTGTGGGCAGTGCCCGGGGAGGGCAGAGTTTGGGGAGGAAGCTCAGTGATATCAATCACAATTTCTTGTCACATGCTTTGGAGCTCATTGTCTCCTGTGCTGCCGTCTGGGGGTTAAGGGTGAGCCTTGTGTCTGGAAAGGCCTCAGTTCTAAGAGAATATGGTTTTCAAAGCCATTCTTATTCAATGCTCAATAAAAATACAGTTTTCACATCTTTCTTGGAACATTTGAACACTGATTAAGATGCTATTTAAAGCTGAAACAAATGCATCATGAATGCACATACCAACTTCTATCTGAGACACAGCTTGGTCAGAGCCAGCTTGGTGTAGTGGTTAAAAGCAGCGGAGAACCGGGTTTGATTCCCCACTCCTCCACATGAAGCCAGCTGGGTGACCTTGGGCCAGCCACAGTTCTCTCAGAGCTCTCTCAGCCCCACCTACCCCACAGGGTATCTGTTGTGGGGAGAGGAAGGCAAGGCAATTGTAAGCTGCTCTGTGACTCCTTCATGTAGTGAAGAGCAGGGTATAAAACCAACTCTTCTTCTTCTGTTATAATATTTCCGTTATCTAGAAAGATATCATATTAGAAAAACTAAAGAAGCACATGTAAGATAAGTTTAGTAGATAGTTTTATTATATTTAAATTCATTTTTTTCAGCCAGAAGTTGGTTTCCAAAATGCATCATAAGAATGTCAGTACAAATGACAACTAAAATTCAAATAAAATGTTATTCTCAACTGGCTGCTCCCTGTCTTCCCTCTTATAGCTCAAGCTAGTGCTCAGCTGGGCCCAGGCATGATGGACACATGCTTGGTTGATTCTTGCTCTCCCTGAAGGAATGAATGAGTTAAAGTTTATACATGGGCCTGATCATAGACCGGGATCTAAAGCCAGACACAGGACAATTCATATGACTGACCACTATAGAACAGTGTCATGGTGTCATGTGTACAGATAGGACAGATATTTTTAGCATGAATGCTTTCTCAGAACTTGTTCTTTAGCATGTATGCCTTTGCATGGTGTGTTAAAGCAATATGTCATATCAGTGTTTTTGTACAGGCTTTTTGTCTGTACAGATCAGAGTTGCCACCTCTGGGTTGGGGAATTCTTGGAGATTTGTGAGTGGAGTCTGAGGAGGGGAGGGATCTCAACAGGGATAATGCCATAGAGTCCACCATCCAAAGTCGCCATTTTCTCTGGGAGAACTGATCTCTGTAGTCTGGAGATCAGTTGTAATTCCAGGAGATGTCCAGGCCCCACCTGGAGGCTGGCAGCCCTGATACAGAGCTTTACTGTAGGAGGGCACATGTCTGATTTGATAACTTGCACAGACTCATGTACAGGATTTTCCCCCAACCAAGGGAGCCTGTTATAAATGTTATCCTTTTAGTTCCCTTCTAAATCATACCAAAGCTCCTGAAACAAACTTGAATTTGCTAATAGCAAATAGTGGTGGCTGTTGCTTGGTAGCTAGTGTGTGCATTAGTAGATTTTTGCCACTACCAGAAGAAGGATTTGGCCTTGAGCTACACAGCGCACAGAGTAATGTTTCCCCTCTCACAACAGACTGAGCTGTGTCAGCAGGTGCAGTAACTTAATGAAATGTCATGGCATTTTTGAAAGCTGATCCTGCTATCTTGTTGGTGGAAATTTTTATATTAACTGATCCAGGGAAA